ACAAGACGCTCTTCCGATTTCCGTCACCTTTCCGATCTCGGAAACACTATATATATATATATATATATATATATATTTAGCTCAGTTCAATTAGCTGTGACGGTTATCTTATGTTACAAATGATCTTACAAATTATAAGACTGTTTGATGGTGGTGGTGGTGGAGGGGGGAAGCTTTATACAGGGGCCAATGCCCACTGTGACTCTCCATTAGTTGCCTCCCTGATCTTTAGTCTGTGTTTCCATTTATAAAACATTGTAGTAGTTCGAGTAATTTTAATGCACGTTTAAATCTGATTGTTGCTTTTTTTTAATTTTCACCAATTAGAAAAAATAATCCCAAAAGGAGATAATGTAAGCCTGCTGGTTCTCTTTTTTGCCAGTTTGTTAAATTGCGTAACTGCCTGCGTTTATTTTTCTGTGTCTGTCTGGACACTAAAGCTGTCCTCTCTCATGACATTTTAATAATTAATTTTATAATAAAATTACAGATCAAATTGTCCTGGGAGAGGACAGCTTGAATATAACAGTGGTACATAAAAATTTCATGTACCACTGTTATATTCAAGTTGAAACAAAACCTACAGTTTAAGATGAAACTCTCTTTATGCATCTCAGAGAATTAAAAAAAAATAATAAAATGTTCAGGAACCAAAAGAAGGCATCATAGAAAGCTAAAGAGGAAGGTATCTTAAATTATCACGAGAATATGTTTTATATTGTCTTATTTAACTTTCTCCTATCGCTCAGTTGTTGTTTCTTTAAACCCACAGGCTGCCTCTGATGCTCAAACCACTAACCTTTTTCCAACGCAGCCATGTTGATCCTTCTGCTTATTATTCCTGAAAGGTTTCTGTTTCTCCAAGAATGACGATCAGAAAAAGCTCCAGACAAAAGCAAACGTCCGGAAAGAACCTAAAACAACCAAGTATAGCCGAGCCCATCCAGTGCTTCTGGAAAAAGTTGTCCTCTCTTCATTCACCTCATGTACTCAACTCTACTCCCACCGTGCGCGTTTGCATCCGGCGCATTCATCCCTTTTCCCACAACAAAATAACGTCAAACTCCTTCTGAAGTGTCTCGTTGCTGTCAAACTAGGCACGAAACATTAGAAGTCGACACAGTCAGGGTTAATTCTTCTGCAGGCGGCTCAGAGGAAGCTCATCTCGTTGGATTGGAAAGAGAGGGAGGTGAAGAAGAAGAAAAAAAAAAAGCATCTGTGAGTGAGTCCCTACAATAAACACAAGCTGCAGAGGAGCGTCACTGGACGGGTTTAGAGTTCTGGGGAAAGCGCAGTCAGCTGACAGGACGTTTGAACAAATGCCTGGGAATCTTACTGGAGGAAGCAAACAAAGAAAAAAGAGAAATCTCTCACTCCTCTGCACATTCTTCCCCAATAGCTGCAGCCAACAAGGGAGTTCGGCTCTTGGGTGGCATTGTTCATGTTGACACCACGCAGCATGCAACACTTTGCTATTCTTGAACAGTCTGCAACAACTCTGCTTATTTCCTCTGCGTTGCACAACGACTCACACTGATACAAAAACTAGCACATTTTTAAGCAGTGGAACAAAAACAGAGCTGACTGCGGCGGAGTGTCCTCCGATACATGTGGAGA